AGGGGGGAAATGCGGCTGGAACCGGAGAAGCAGGAAAACACCACTTGGGGACCTGGTAGCAAAATAGTCCGGGTTAAAGCAGTTTTGAGCCAGGTTGGCAACAGCTAGGGACGGGAGGCAGATGTTGGCTGTGTGATCGCGCGTATAAAATCCGTTTCTAACTGGCATGTATACCAGCTCAAATGGCCTGTCTGAATGCACCCATTGGGTGGCCTTGGGTTAGTCGACAACTTTCAGCCTCGCCTCATCTCAGAGCGTCATTCAGAGGATACAAAGGAACACGGACAGTAAGTCCAGTGGCGAGCTGGACTTGGGGCCTTCTGGAGAGGACTCTCTTTCTGAGACAGGGGCGGCGGCTCCTAAAAGTCCCTACAAACTGCGGAAAAGACAGGATAAGAAAAAATGAAGGCTGAAGGACTCTGAATTGTGCCTTTGAAAACATTGTGCTTAATAATGAGATGCTCTGGGGTCTTTTATGAACAGTCAAATTTAAGATTTAAAAGATATACTAGCATGTCTGACTAAGTCCATAAAAATGTTAGCGTTTTTTGTATTTAAGCAAATTTGATGATCTCCTCTCTTGGGTTTTTAGTCAGTAGTGGGCATCTTTTCTTTTCCCTTAATTGTAGTCCCCCTCCCTATTTTCGTTGTCGTTTGTAGTCCTTATATAAAATGCAATAAAAAATCCCCTTCGGGGGGGCCAAAAAAAAAAAAAGGAACACGGAAGATGCACTGACCTCTGTGGAGAGAAACAATTTGTCAATACAGGGTCCAACGTTGTGGCTCTGTTAACTTCTTCATATTTCTCCCTAAACATTACAGAACGCAACAAAGTCAGTGCTCCGAGACAGAACATCCACATGCCAATGCAGATCTCCCCACCCTTTCAACTTTTCACCAAGAGGCCATCATCTTTGCTTTGGTCTCTGCCTGGAAAAACCGCAGTTAGGCAATCTCGCTTATGTTCTTAAGGCCATGGGAACATCTTTGTAGTGTGTGACAGGAGAGGGGGGGGGGTAGGGAAGTGTTAGGTACCTGCAGAACAGGGCTGGTGTGGCAGGGATGACATACTGCACTGCACTGACCTATTTTCTTCCCTTCCCTCAGGAATTTAAACCATGGTGGAGCCCAGGAATTTGCAGCAATTTAATGGGAAGCAAGTTACCTCTTGAAAAGCAGGGCAGCCCTAGCCCAGATGTACGGAGACGTGTGCCGAAAAAGGGACCACCTGCATGCAGGGATCCGTTTTGCTGAGCTGTTAATCATGAAGGCACCCAGAGTGACAGGCAAAGCAGAACATGCTGCATTATACCTGCTTACAGATCCCAAATTTTATTTCTAGCCCGCCCTCCCCATGCTCAGGAAGAATTAAAAAAAATAAAAACACAAATCCATAGTTACTGCTCCAGCACACACGCACGCGCACACACACACACCCCTTCAGCGTTTTCAGCCTCTTTGGTGCTAATAATAGCAAAAGCACATTCTGGGTGAGCAGTCTTCGTGTAAGAAAACCGACAAATTGTCCTGATCTCTATTTAGCTGACAGCCACCCTGCTACACAACGGTGGCCAAGCATCACAGAGAGGGGCAGCGGTGGCAGTCAGCTGCTCTGGAAGAGGTTGCTGCTTGAAACAGCCAGCCTTTCACGGGGCGGGGGGAGAGGCAGATCTTTGATGCAATCCCACTCTTGCCCTTCTAGGCCAGCTTTCTGACACCCGATACGGCTCCATCTGCTTCTGCTTCATTCAAATTCCATCAGCTTTTTCCTGCTAAAATAACAGGGACTGAAAATACAATGCAGACTCTCTGGAGATTCCAGCGGTGTCCATTAGAAAGCTGCGCAGATGCCTGAAGCCCCTGTGGCATTCAGTAGCCCAACAGGCTCCAAGGCCCCTGCTATTTAGAGCCAGTGCATGCTTCTGTCCCAGCAAATGATTCCTGATTGGGGGGGGGGGGACCTGGACAAGTATGCAGAGGCTGGATTTAAGGGGAATGCTGAGGGGTGGGGCAAGTTCAGACAGCAGCCCGGCAGCATCTGCTCCGAACAAGCAAGCACTTGAAGGCACCCAGCCAGCCTCTCGCTTCACTGAGCAAGGATTCTCAACTAGAGATGCTGAGCCAGCCACTTGGGTCCCAGGAAGCACCACTGAGCAGTGAACGGAAACTGGAAAATGCACCTGTCGGGTGCCAGTAGCACATCCGGGGGAATTGGACTTCCCATGGCCTGCGAACACATCACTTGGGCTTGCTTGCAAACGAGGTACAACCGTACAGCTTTGAGAGCTAGCCCGGTGCAGGGGTGAGAGCCACGGGCGAGGGCCACAGACACCCATCTCCAAATCCCCACTTGCCATGAATCTCACTGGGTGGTCTCGGGCCAACCACTCCCCCTCCCTCAGCAAAGCGTACCTCACAGGCTCCTGATGAATGGAGAGGGAGAGAATCCCGCTGCCGCTGCCCCCCCTTGGAGGAAGAGTGGGGGGAAAGGTCAATAACCGCTCCTATCCCTCCTCTTCCTCCTCTCCTAGCACCACTCCCATCCATGGGTCCCAGAGAGCTCAGAAGGGTTTTAAAAAGTCTTCCAACTGCAACAGCCACACTCTCTTCCCCAGGGGTCATTTCGTAGAAAAAGAGGTGCAGGAACTCATTAGCATAACTCATTAGCATAACTTATTTGCATATGCCCCACCCCCTGACATCACCGGAAGTGTGTCAGAAGGCAACACCCACCGCTCAGGCTCCACTGGACTGTTTGGGGTTGCTAGCTATTGGGGGGGGGACGTGCAGATCTGTCCTTGCAGAGGAGGAAGAGCTTGTACCTGAATAAAACTTGGTCTTAAAGGTGCCACTGGACTGTTTTGGACCTGAGGGCCAGGGGAGCTCTGCAACTTACCTGGCTGCTTCTTGCTCTGACTGAGGGCTGCTGGGAGCAGGGGGTGGGGCTTGTTGCATGTGCCCGCCCCCTGGGCTCTTTACTGCCGGAGCTCCGCGCCTGTGTGCTCCTGCAGGAAATGACCCCTGCTCTTCCCAGCTGTTAGGACCCAGTCCTGTCACACGCCCAGCAAGACCTGGGACCTTCCTGCCTTTGAGCCATTTGCAGGCGGTGTGTGACAAGATCTTAAATAAACAGTGCCATTTCCCCACAAGACGGCTTCCAATCACCACACACAAAAAAGCAAGGGGAACCAGCTACCTCCTCATTTCAGTAAACATCCGGAACCCTTCTCTGTCCTGCCTTCCCCACTTGATTCTTTGCATGCCTTCCCCCCACCCCTCACGTGTCCCCCCCCCGCCGCTGTTTTCAGTTAACAGAGGCTTCTCCTCTGACTTCTGCTCAGTGGCTTCCTTCCCTTCTGAATAACCGCAACCCACACACACAATCTGGGACGGTGTGCTGAGGCATTCTGTGCGGGCCCAGAGTCAACCAGATACTCCCAAAATGGGAGTATTCCACTTCCCCCGCAACACCCTCTTCCAACTATGCAGCCAATGGCCACCTTGCCCCCTTTCCTCAAGACCTGGAGGGCAAAACCGACCCGAAAACCCAGCTTTTGAGCTGGGAGGGGGAGGGAAGTGCATGCTGCTGGCTCTTGCGAGCTAACAAGTGGTGGAAGGAAGGAAGGAAGCCCGTGTTTGTTCAGAGACAAACGGCTTACTTTGGCGCCCTGATGTGATCCAGAGTTTAAGTGAGGGCAGCCGAGATGATATGGGCAAGAAGCGGGATCAAGAAGGGTCAACGTGGTGACCAACAGCGGCTAGGTGCTAAGCCAAGTTACAACGTCCGTGCGCCCTGCTGACCAACAAAGAAATTCCAGCTTCACACGGGAAACTGACCACAGGGAAAGATGGGAGGCCTCCGAAGCACGGCGCTGCTGCCCGGAAGAGTGGCAACTCGGCCATGCCACCTGGCTAGTGAAACGAAACCCCCTCAAGTTTGAAAAACAAACTCATCTTAAATGAAGTTAATAATTACTCTGGTCTTGAAGGAAACATTGTTTCACTCCGCACACAGCAAGAGGGAGGGCTGCCTTACAGTGCTGTCAGGGAGTAATTTGTTTGCCAAAGCTTAGTGGAGGCTGTGGGCTGGGCTTATTGTATTTCACGGCTTCCTTGTTATGAATAAAAGCCATTCTCTTGCTTTACTAAAAAGTCTGGAGGGCGCATGTTAATAGAATCTCAGCTGTGGTGTAAAAAACCAATTGGATACAGTTCCATATTTTAGAAGGAGGGTGGCAAGAGATAAATTGCTTTCGCTCCTGCCAGAAAGGAACAGACTTGCAGAGCCGAGGTCACCGTGTCTTTTGAGAAAACGCGGCATGCCAGAGGTCACGCACCCAAGGGGCAACGTGATCGGGCGTGGGGAGATCCAGGTGGAGCTGCTCTGGGGTCGCAAGCAGAGGAGGAGGCCAGGAGGGGAACGGAAAAGCCACGAGGGGTATGCAGAGCAGCATGTCTGGCGGCCTCCGAAGCTCCCCTTGGGGAGGGTCAACAAAACAGAAGAAGCATTAATAAAGTGGGGCTCAACTGTCCTGTCATCTGCCAGGAGCCATGGGAGACTGGGGTGCCAGTCCTTGTCTTGGCAGCAAAGCGGCTCCCTTGACTTCTGCCCACTAGCAATAGGGTCAGAATGGTGATCCCAAGGTCAACTGGAACCAGGGGCCATTTCCTGCCGGAACACGCCGGAACGACGCTCCGGCAGTAAGGAGCCCAGGGGTGGGGGGCCCCCGCCGCCTTTCCTGACCCACTCACAGAGCCCCACCTGCAGAGCCCTGCCTGCCCATCCTTCCCTTCCCTAGCCAGCCTGCCACAGGCAGACATGCCCACGGGCAGACATGCAGCCACGGGACACCTGGAGAAGATTGGGCAGAGAACCCAGGCATGCTTGTATGCCTGCCCTTTGTTGGGGTGTGTGGCATATGCAAATGAGTTATGCAAATGAGCTTATGCCCCTCTTTTTCTACAAAATGACCACTGACTGAACCACGCGGCAGACTGGAATGGACAGACGGGGCATTTTCAAGCCGCTTCACGGCAAAGGAACAGCCTTCAGCTACACCGAAGTCAAGCTAGAGCGAGGCTCCCATTCTGAATGTAGGTAAACACGCTGAAGAAGAGCTGCCACAGCTGAAGGGTGGGCAGGAGCTACCGCTCATGGCCAAGGCGTTTAAACAAAAATGGGGCCATGCCCTTTGTGGTTACTAACAGCCCTGGGTCCGTGGCACATTGCTGCGAGAACAGGCACCAAGTAGCAGCTCCCCAGCCTTTCACCAGGCCTGCGTAGGTGCTGAATTCTACAGCTAATCACCTTAGCAACAGCTCTAAACATATGTGCAGTGACATCAGCTGATTTTTGAAAGCTGTAAATAGAGGATAATAGCATGGGGTGGGGTGGGGGGAAGGATAATCTGGATTCTAGCCAAGCTCTTAAAAAAACACACTATTAAAATATAGTGTAATTCAATGTATGTCAACTTGCTTGTGTACCCCCCTCTTCCCCTAAATCTCTGGAACTGCTGTTAGGTGTATAATTACACAGGAATGAAGTTAGCTTGGTGTCCTCACGCCAATTACATGTGGTCTGGAAAAAAATTAGCCAGCTGGCTACCAACTAACAGAAAGCCAAGAGCTTCAAAAAATGCAGAGGGGAAAAGAGGATGTTGTTGTTCCTTGGCCATGGGATACATTTCCTCCCCACTCTTGGCACCTTCTTTATAGTTGAAGACTTCCGTGCTTTAGGTTTTTTGAACAGGACGAGCCCCTGTATAGTCCGAGTTATTTGGAAGATAACCCCAGCTCTTTAGGCATTAAACCAGTACTGGCCTCTGTGAAGATGTTTAGATTTTTATGATCCAGGGGCAGCAATGCCCAGGCACATAGTAACACCCCCCCAAGTACTTTATCCTAATGAACAATTTATTTATTTGTTTATTAGATTTTTACCCCACCCTCCCGGCCAGGCTGGCTCAGGGCGGCTTACATAACAATATAAAACAATATAATATAACAATATAATATAAAATATAAAATCCATTAACACACAGTTCTTAAAACCATAAATATGGCAACATAATAAAGTGCTAGTACTTAATTCCTCATCATACGGTCAGCTCCTTGATCTTCTTCAGTGTCCAGGCGATCAGGTCAGGCAGTAATTGGGGGATCCAGATGGATCGGGGTCTCTCTTCACAGGCTGTCAGATGTCAGTGGTGGTAGCAGCTCCAAAGGCCTGGCGGAAGAGCTCCGTCTTGCAGGCCCTGCGGAACTGCAGCAGGTCCCGCAGGGCCCTGATCTCCTCCGGGAGCTCATTCCACCAGAGTGGAGCTGCCACCGAGAAAGCCATGGCTCTCATTGTCGCTAGCCTGGCCTCCTTGTTATTCGGGAGGACCAGCCAATTCTGGGTCCCCGATCGCAGCGCTCTCTGGGGAACATATGGGGAAAGGCGATCCCTCAGGTATGCAGGTCCCTGGCCATAAAGGGCTTTAATGACCAGCACCTTGAACCGAATCCAGTATGCTATAGGCAGCCAGTGCAATGTCTTTAGCACAGGTTGGATGTGCTCCCGTATAGGGAGTCCCATCAGCAACCTGGCCGTGGCATTCTGCACCAACTGCAGCTTCCGGATTCGGGACAAGGGCAGCCCCATGCAGAGGGCATTACAGTAATCCAATCTTGTTACCATACCATGAGAGATACGGTAGTTCTCACTCATGGCCAATGCATTTGAATCGACATGGAGCCTTCCCTGGACACTAACAGCCTGATCAACAACACGTGGCCCACAAGAACGGGCAGCAGACCAGGTGGCTTCTCAGCCTTCCAACAGGCCAAGCCAATCTCAGTTCTCTGAAGAAGGGCGGGCAGAAGGTCGCGAGCAACAAAGGCTTCTCAGCCTTCCAACAGGCCAAGCCAATCTCAGTTCACGGAAGAAGGGCGGGCAGAAGGCCGCGAGCAACAATAAGGTCAGCAAGAACGAGCAGGAAGCCGGGCTGACAGGCAGGTGACTGGAAGACATTCAATTCAGATTCCAGCATCCCTGCACGTACGGCATCTTATTAAGACCTTGAATTATTTAGAAGGCCTCCCACTCGGCAGCCACCAGAAAAGGAGAGGAAGACAAGGTATCTGCGGGTTTTTATTCATTTCACTCAGATCCGTATTTCCAAGGTTTTTCTGAAGAATGCACTGATGCCAGATAAATAAGCCTCTGCTTTGCTTTTCTGCATTAAATGGCTGACAAAGGAATAACAAAATTGGCTTAATAGGATTTTCAGATGTCAAAAAAAAAAAAGGAATCTGAAGCAGCGCCATTTATGCATAGCCTCAGGATTCAGTTGACTTGAGAACAAGATTTGCTGGCCAAAGACAACAGTCTGCATGCTAGAGGCATCTAAGAATCCGCCCAGCTCCAGTTCAAGGCACAGCCCCACACCACCTGACGGTTAACCCCCTTCAGCACTTGCTTCCCCTTTCTCACATCCACACAGGGGACATCCCTGGAAAACGCATCCGAATGTTCCAGAATTCAGAGAAATCCGTGCACAATCTTTCCTTCATGAAGCAACCTTCGGCCACCATAAAATTCACTGAACAGCAAACCGTAAGGGAAGTAATTATACCAAAGAATAAACCAGAAGCACACCAGAAAGCAGAGATGTCGTTTGCCAGTTTCCATGCAACTCAATGAGGACAAGGACAGCATCAAACAGGCCTCGGTGTTTGTGGCCTGTCCTATGACTGGGCCCAAAGCAGGTTGACCCAACTAGCAGACCAGACAGTGCACATCACTTTAATGCAAAAGCTGCACAAAGGGATCAGTGAAGCTTGTTGTCGTGGGCTGAACCACCAAAGCGATTTTCGACCATGCCTTTCTGTTTAGAAATAGTCACGTGACCTGAGAAGATCCAGCACTTCCTGACACATGAAGAGGTCACAGAGAGAGATGCAAAACACTCCCCTACCCCGTAAGGGCTGCGTTGATTGCTTCACTGGCTGAGCGGCAGCAAACACGTTTGCCAGCATATATGCAGAATGGCCAGTCCCAGTCCCCAGGGAACGAAAACATACACACTGGGGAGTCTGCTGCATGTCCACATTACAGTTCAACAAGTAAACACACACACACACCAAACAAACAAAAAAACCCACTGAGGAGCAGCCTTTGTGTGTGCCTTCATTCATTTGCCAGAATATCTGAAGAGTTAAACGTCTACTTACCACCAAGTACCAGAGTGGTGAAGGCCAGGAACAGTGGAACACGTGGGAAGGGTCTTTCTCAGTGTCTGAGTGCCCTCCCACAGAGCCCTCCTTTGGCCTCACTTTCAGTCAGGAAAAGACAGTCTCCTTCCAGAAGGGCAGGCGTTTGGAGGCCACTGAGCTGCAGATGCTGATGCTGTCTCACCATTTTATTCTTTTATTGATGTCCTGATACTACTGTTTTTGTGCACTGACACTCCTTTGTGGGCATTACTTTTATTGTTTTGATACATATATATCTCTAACCTACCCTGGGGGCATTACTGTTTTAGTAAAAAGACAGACTAGAACAATCTTACATTACCACTTGCCAGCCATTTTCCCTCTTTAATGCAGTACGTTCTGTATACAAATTATGGAAATTCTGGACAAGCGTGTGTTAATGCTGTTCTCTAGCGAGAGGACACAACTGTTGAGTAACCTGGTATGATGCTCGCCAGAACAGTCAACAAACTTGCTATGCAACTATAGGAAAACTTTAGCCTGTTTCAGTCTCATCCACTACAGCACACCAGCAGAGACCAAATTCCTCTGCGGAGCCAAGATTTACACTGGACAGAATTTAACTAAAGAGAGCTTCACTAGGACTTCAGAGCTCTGACACCCAAGCGATCGATCTGGCCTCTGGAATGATCAAAAAGTGTCCATCCTGAGCTGTCTTTTAGCCCCACGTGCATGTTTCGTAACAAACTGGTTTCTTTTCACTTTTCACCTCCTTTCCATTACACTCCAGCACACAACAATTTCTTCTGTACTGACCAGTATCACACCCTCTTTCTTCAAACACCCTATTAACTGGCTGCTGGCTCAAAACACTAGAATTCAGGCTATTAAAAAAAAAAAGTAAGCTTCAAACAATTTCGGCTGACTGCTGTGGCAAAGCGCCCCCCCCCCCCCAACAACCAGCCTGCCGCTCTGAGGTCGTATTTCCATTGTCTGGCATTTGTCTTTTCTCCCATTTCAAGGTGAATGATCTGCACCAACAAAAAAATAGCTAGGTCAACACACAGAAAGTGATCATTTTTAAAGATACAGAACAATTCCGCAGGCACAGCCTCGATGTTACAAAGGGTACTTACTAGTCAAATGTTCAGACAAAAATACGGAACAAGGAAACATTTAGAGACTTAGTGTGAGAAATTCCCAGCACAAATACCTAGTGATTTTGGTAACTAAAATCCTTTCCAGTTGAAGCTGCTATGTTAATTGTTAAAAGCTTCAATTGCAGTCTAGAAACAATCTTTCCAGAACAAAGGCTGCACATGACCTAATCAAATTTGAGGAGGGTGTAGTCAGTCCTGTTTTTAATCCAAAGATGGTTCTCAGCTCTGCTGTTGCCATCAACATCTTTAACTATATCACTTCAGAATGTTTTGCTGTGAGACAGAAGAAAACTTAACATGCTGGTCACCTGCCTTGCATCAGTGAAGCGCAGCGGTACAGCCGCCTCCTTTCTAGCGTTTCACTGATGCATGCTTAAATATGCGGGTGAGGAAAATGCACCTCTCAGAAACATTGCATCCATAATCTCCGTGAAAGTGTGACGACCAAAGTGAAAAAGCTGATAAAAACTCAGACCACCACTAGAGTATTAACCCCCAAAATTAAATTAAAAATTACAAATCTTTCAGCATTAAGCAACGGACAACAGCTAGCACAATCCTTGCATCCTTTTACACCCCTCTGAAAGTGCATTAAATTAGGGAGCAGAGTGACAGCTGAGCAGGAGGCTGGGAACAATGAAGATAAAGTTAGCTTTCAGCGCTGTGACCCTGTCCAGGCAGCGTGCCAGAAGCCCATAAATAATTGATAGGAGCAACCACCCCAGCCAACACACTAATGTACAGAGTGGCTCTTACAGCAACTGGAGTACGATTGCCCATTACATCATTACTTCTTTCTACTTTGCACTCTCCTTATCTGCAATGTAATTTTACTGCTTTTAAATAATAAATTGCACTGGGACTAGAAATGCCCCTATGCCCATTCAGTGTCTAGCAGGGTGTGCAACTACACAAATGAATTTTACATATGGCAAAATAAATTTTGCATTAAGCTAAAAAAGTCCTTGCTACACTAGACGACGAAGCCACAAAGCCTTTTAAAAATATCAATACCTGTTTTATCAATAAAGACCTTTTCAAGCAGAGGCTTCTGACTGAACCCCGTCTCTCAGCAACTTGCTTTATGTATGATTTACCAATGCTGGCAGAGATGCATCGGTACGACAAGTAGAAACAGTTGAAAGCAAGTTTGCAGTCACTTTTGGCTAGGAGGGTAATATCTGCAAAACAGTAATGTATTGCTGCATAGGTGATCTTTCATTTACTTAAGGGAGACGTGTGGGAAAACGTATCTCTGAGAACCAGCGTGCCAAGCCACCTTCCTACATCTGCAGGCAGACTGCTCCGACTGACTACCAGCCGACTCCCTGCTCTCAATCAGAGCTGACTGAATGAAATCAGCAACTCAGGTCTATTCCTGTAACAAGGTCCTCTGAACCTTGTGAGAAAGTTCAACTTCACTGAAGGTTTTACTGGGCCAAGCAGCCAACAGTACAGGCAAGGCATAATGTCTTTTGTACGAATGTGACTCCAAAACAAAAGGGTAGGAGGAGTCAAAACAAGTCGAAACATAAACGGACATAAGCTCGACCTGCAAGGTCCCTTCCAACTCTAGCATTCTATGATTCTATGAAGTCCCACGAGGCAGGGAATTCAGAAGGGAAGCAGCTAGGAACAGGTGATTAAAGCCAAGGCGAACAGGGACAGCACCAGAAGAAGATGGGCTGGATCCAGAACAAGACTTCCACCTGTGCTAGAGCTGTTGCACAAGCTGCTGAAACGCAAGAAAAAGGTGCTTGTATTAAGCCAAACTTACCATATCCCCCAATTACATTTCCGCTGGCACAAGATCCTGGGCATCCAATTTCTGGACACTATAACATATAGGGAGGAAAACGCTAGGTGTTTCACAAGCAGAACTGTGCTAAGTCCATTTATGTTTCTGTTTGTGCATTCCTGGAAGACATGGAATTGGACTTCTGAACCTTCACTGAGTTTATATCAACTTTCAACCAGAAGTTGGCCCAGTGGCTATTTCCAGCTTTCTTATAGCATCCATCCCTGATTATGGAAAACAACAGGGTGGACCCTAAACCTACCCTACCCCTCCACTGAACGAAATTTGAAACTCGTGTGTCCAAGCAGGATTATGTGCTTACACTGTTTTTAGATTAATGAGCCTGCTGATAATTACATAACGACAAAGGGTAGAAGTACAGCATGCCCGGAACAGAGCTTGAAGTTTACTTCAGAAGAGAGGCAGGATATTTTCCAGCTTCCCCACTGATACACTACACCTCTCTACAGGTAACAGCAGGTAAAACTCAGAACACCACAAAAAAAGACTACTTGGATTTTCTTACCATATTTTAACTAAGTATGCATCTACTCATGAAAGAAGTCTTTGTATTTTTCAAAAGGCCACGGTAATCAAGACACACGGCAACTGAGGCTAACAGGCTTGTACTCCAACTCTAGGTGCCCGACATAAACAGAACAGTTTCAGGCTTCTATGGAAGAGACCAGTCTGCCAAGACACAACAGCATTTTCAAGCAAGTTATACTCTGTGCTCAGTGGTTCTAATTAGCCATCTGAACAGCACTTTCCAACACACCCTTCTCTAGAAGGGCTGTATGACTCCTCTCCTACAGCAGCCAACCAATCATTCTTGTGGCAGGTGGTGAGGATCTGAACTCAGGTCAAGACCAGCTACCTACTGGGCCATTGTAGATATCAAAGACTTGAACAAAGGGGAAATGCTAGATTCAGAACTGTGTAATGTGCCTCAGTGGCTTTGCAGTTACAGTCCACTTTGTTACACGGCTACTTTCAGTGCTTCCTAGTCTCCCTCTAGTTGCGCCACTCAAGAGAAGCTTCATGTTCTAGACACAGGAAGTTGAGTGTATAAATTTTGGCAGCATGGGTGGTCAACTATATTACTGACACCCAGCTTGTGTCCTGACCCGGTCAAGAAAAAGGCAGACGTACAAACACAGGTACGACCTGACCACCACCAATGCCCCCTCTAAGCTGTGGAGTCTTGTGAGCAAAAATTCTATTTTGTGAGCCAGAGATTTGGCCCCAGCATAAATTGGTTTGCCCTGGAGCCATTCTTCCTGCGCTAAGACAAAAATCTGTGAGCCTGAGGCTAAAAAACTAGCTCACACGAACTCAGCTTAGAAGGAGCACTGACCACCACCAGTACGAATGCCGTGCCCGAGTCAGCACACGAAAGCCCCCTTGGATCAAGAAAAGGGGATGTGACAAAAAGTAACTTCC